TTATTTATACTGACCTTAAAGGCACAGAAGAGACTGTACATTGTACAACTGGGAGAAGCTTAGTCACCAAACACCACAAAATTCAATAAAAAAAGAATTTGGGAAGAAGCATTTACTGAGCAATAACTTCTAGGCTGATATTGTGTTCCCTTTTTTAAAAAGTATGCAACAAACGCAGCTGGTGAAACCCGAAATATAGAATAAGTGCCGATGGCCAATGATGACCTCTAACACATAACCGACTTTCTGTGGCCGATGAAAAGCAATTGATAAAGTGTTATAGGTTGATGTAATGGGATGAGCTAAAGTAATTCTCTTATCATTATGGAAATCGGTGTGTGTGGTTGAATGCATTTAGAGAAAAAAGAAACGTTTCTATAAACTCAACGATAGCGTTAACGGTAGGTATTTGTTATTTTGTGGAATTTAAAATAGCACACACGCACCTCATCATCTATAACAGCCACTACTGAACAAGAAGGTTTGCTATAATCCTCACTCTTGGACACCATTCGACGATGAGCATAAGTAGCTCGCTGCCCGACCAGAACTAGACCCAAGCCTATATAGCGCGTAGCATTCCGCGCTTCAAAGTGCCAATAGACCACCACAGATGAAGCCCAAATAGGGTCGATGTTCAGCCAGAGTTGCAGGACAAGCTTAATAAGGCACCACGGGCTCGGCCTGCAGCAGAAGAAGGAACGGGAGCGGGGGAGAATTCCTCGCCTCATACTGGATGAGTGCCATCAAGTCATTAAATGGGTCACCATTTAATTAATCTCACAACGAAAAAGGTGTTTGTGCCACATGTATTTTGTTTTATGGACACCACACAGTCAAAATAAACAAAATACCCGACATTTTGAATTAGATTGGCCTAGTATACAAATATAGATAGACATACAAATCTCAGCATTATCAAATCTTCATTCAGTTCTAATCCTAGGTCGTCTTTGTTTGACGAACCTGCCTCATTAGCAAACACCTTGCTCGTCTGTCTGTCCATAATATTTGTCTGTTTGCCATAACTATATTACAAAGGCACCGAACAACCTTGATATAGAATAATGCACAGGAAATCGGAGCGTAGCGTTTCGGGAACTAGTATTTATGTATTCCTCTTTAAAGTACACTATCAGATCAAATAATTATAGTTGTGGTTCAATGTGTAAGTGGGGTTACCGGAGTCTTCCGTTTACCAAAACCAACCTTGAAATCCCTAACCTCGACAGGTCAGCCAAGCACTTGGTTAACCACAATGCCGATTGCTTACACTGTGTATAGGAATAGGATTGAACCTGCTCCCTCATACACGAAGTATGAGGATGCAGGATCAAATCCTGGTAAGTTACATATGACCTATTCTTTTTTTTGATGTGATGGGACGGCAAACGATCTGACACGGATAACCTGATCGTAAGCAATCAGCGCCGCCCAGGGTCACCTGCAGCGGAAGAGTTACGAGTGCATTGCCGACCTTTTTGGGATTAGGGTTTTGGAGATCTAGAGATTGGAGAGGTATGGGAGGATTATTTCACAGGTGACCTCTCAAACACGGCAAAACACTATGCTATGGTTGTTTCACGCTGGTTTTCAGTGAGGCCGTGGTATCATTCCGGTTAAACCGACCCATTCGTGCTGATATATATCTCTGCCACAATTGTAGATATGCCATGTACAGTCAGGGGTAAAAAATGCAATTACACTCTACCAATTTTAAAATGACTAAAATTTCTTTGTAATAAAAGTTCAATGGTTCACAGACAGTTTATTCAATAATTTAGATTCTATGCTATAAATTAAAGCAGTCCTCAACGATTGACTCTTTTCTACAAAGATATTTTGGTCATTTTAAAATTGATCGAGTGCCATTGCATTTTTGACCCCTGACTGCACATTTCACAACAATCAACTCTAACATTTTATCAATAACAAATCTAGCATCAGTCTAGTCTCAATTGATAGGAGTTTATTGTAATTTTTTTGTAGTTACGTCTTATGACTTAGTCGGTCAATGGCGTGACGAGCCGATTTTCTCACTCAGACTATTGAACTATGAAATAATATTGTTACATAAGTATTTAGTTAACACCGAACTGTTATCTAAGAAAATATGTTCTAAGGTAAAATCCTATACTTTTTATGCCATAGGACGGCAAATTTTGTGTGTTAGAGCCATGCTTCGGCACGAATGGGTCGGCTCGACCGGAGTGATACCACGGCCTCAAGGAAAACCGGCGTGAAACAACCACAGTGTTGTGTTTCGCCGTGTGAGTGAGGTTACCGGAGGCCCAATCCTTCCCCTTCCCTAATCCCTCCCCAGTTCCTAAATCTCTAAATCCCTAATCCCTAAAAGGTCGGCAACGCACTCGTAACTCCTCCGTTGCGGATGTGCGGCGCTGATTGCTTACCATCAGGTAATCCGCTCGTTTGCCGGCCTATTACATTAAAAAAAAAATGGACCATCTGACGGTGCAATCGGCGGTGGCATTGGACACTCACGGCACCAGAATTTCAAGTTCATTGCCAGTCTTTATGGGATGAGGAATTTTGACGCCTATGGACACCTGCAACACCGGAGGAGTTACAAGTGGTAGATTTGGCCTCTGATAAAATCACTCACCCGGCAAAACAACATTGTGGTTGTTTCACGCCGGTTTTTTGTGAGGCCGTGTTATCACACCGGTCGAGTCGACCCATTTATATGCTCTCCCACAAACTTTAACTTGAACCCAGATATTTTTTTTTCTTCGTAAAACGTTGCCCCACACCATAATTTTCTTCTGTGTCGTGGGTGCGTTTACAAACATAGAATTTCATTACACATATCATAAGAGTTATATGCAATGCTCCTTCAAGCATCGCCGCATCACACTCTCTGCATCTTTCTTGTTCTATTTACTGATAGTTCCGGTCAATATAATAATATATGGTATAAATAAATTCAATATCATAAGAATCGTTTAATAAGCTGCATGGAAAGTTCTAAAATGGTTGGTTTAACCCAAATATTTAAATGTTATCAATGTATATTGGTATTAAGAAGTCACATAAATAATAACAGAAAGTATCAGTCTGGTCAATTGACAAAATAATGTTATGTAAATCGTTAATAATGCTACATCTTTGAGAGAGTCGACAAATGGAATTAAACTTTTTAATAAATATGATAGATATTATTAGTGAGTCTTGGCTCGTAAATAATAGAATTAATGCCGATCGCATATTTGGAGACGAAATCAGATGAGAAAACTATGCAACTGGTACATTGACAGAAGCCACGCTCCGGACGTCGGGAATCGAGAGACGATCTTCGGTTACCGTAAGCGCGGGTCTGCGGTCGGCGAGTAAGGGCAGCTCGCCGCCCGACCAGAACCAGACCCGAGCGTACGGCGCGTAGCGTTCCGCGCGCGCTTCAAGGAGCCAATAGACCACTACAGACGGGGCCCTATAGGGCTGATGTTCAGCCGGGGTTGCGGGGTAAGCGCACCGAGGCACCGCGGCCTCGGGCCAGAGCAGGGAAAGGAGCGGGAGGGGTTTTTAGTTAGTAAGAGTCTAGCACTCCCTAAAGCCTGACCCTTGGCGGAAAAAGTCATTTGACGATTTCCCCCTAACAAAAAGGAAAAGAAAAAGTGGTACATTGACATGAAAAGATAACAGTTATAGCTGACTTAATATCACAGTATCTAAGATGTGTTACAAATCAATTACAACTGGAAAATTGTTTGGTTTAATCAAAAACTGATAGACGCTTTGATTCAAGACAATTCACTAACAATGGCTATATCATAACATAATAAAAACGTTGCCTCTCACTCGAGCAATTTTACAAACACATCACAACTGGGTCCGAAATAACAATTTGTGGATGGACAGAAAGAGTTGTTCCCTGCGGGAATCCAATCCGAGTCACGCAGCCCAGCCACCGCGCCAACCGTGCAAACTAACTATAATGTGCATTTCAATATAATTTTTCTTGTCTCGTCGCTAAGGAGCGGTTTTTAGGGTGTGATTTTTCTCAGAACCTCGAGATTCTGGCGAGGGCGACGTTGTAGAGGAAAAGCTAGCCATATACATAATAATATGTACTAACAAAAACATAATATCATCTAGCTCTTTTCCCCCTCTGGACTAGGGTTCTCATCCTCAGAAGTTGCACTTGCAATGAAACAAATAGTACTTTATCTATATTACAAATACTTAAGAATATTTAAATCTATTATGTTCAAAAAGATCAACCTAATGATCATAATTGAAACATGGAAAATAATTCCAGAAAAGATCCTTTCAGGACGAAAATGTTAAACAAGTTAACGACTTGTTCTGCTCTCGATCTTCAAACATTCATCGATATCAATATGGCGACCACATCTCCAGACAGAACAATGATGTTTGAAAAATAATTCAACTCGCCATGGACTTGCTGCCGTGTGAAAAAGACAGAAATGATAACAGTACACTTGCTAGTGTTTGGTATTAGGATCAACCCCTTTCAATAATAGCCCTTTGTTAAACTGAAAGCTATGATTATAATGTGATATTATTATGTCCTCAAAAACATTGAAACATTGAAACATTAATTTCAGACATGTAATATAATTCATATCATTGTTAAATTGTAATTGATATCAATGTTAATTATTTATAATTTGTCCAGTCGTTGAAGTTTATGAATTAATTATGTATTTTTGTACTGCATTATTACTCTTTCATTGTTTGTAATGTTTAACTTCTTAATTATGTATATTTTTTACTTGGGCAGTCTAAAAGTAATGTTGTGCCTAACTTTAATTTAAGACCATACAGTAACTATTCTTTTTCATATTCTTATGTCTGTCTTTATTGGTAAGCCTAGATAAAATAAATATGTATATTATAACAAATCAAAAAGATGTAAATAAATCATTTCCAAAAAAATATCAACAAATCAAAACAAAGCAACACAATAAAAAATAAAAAGTTGCACTATAAAATTAATTAAAAAAGAAAAATAATCTCACCAATATCACAGCGAAATACAGCAAGAACTTCCTCATGATTTTGCAAATTTAAATATTCTTCTTATAAATGTCCACTTCTTACTTCGTTTGAACCGAAAGAGCCGATAGAGGCGGGTGACGGGCGCGCACATTGAACAACAAGTGGTCGGATGCGCCGACGCAGATCTACATGCCGCGAGTAGGGGGACCATGTACTACTGGAAAACTCAGGACTTTACTACGACGTGCGTGTCTTCATTAAACAGGATAAAATGCAAATCTGTTACATAGATTTTAATGTTTTTTTCGGCAATGGTCACCTTACGTGGAATGTTTTAATTTGATTATGTATCTACAGTTTGACCTAGCGTTCGATTCAAAGAAACTTTCAAATTCGCTAAGGCATTATTGTTTTCTGTATCAAACAAAGATAATATTAAGGAGTAGGAATATTCTACTTTTATGAGACAGGCCTTTGGATGTAAACAAGTTCTTTGTTAGAATCGGACTAATAAAAAAAGCAGGACTGTGAAAGTACTTCAGAGTAATAGGATCTCTTCAATATTATCCTGTCTAATTTTATTGATATGGTATACGAATAATACTATAATATATTAATTACTATTGTTATGTGTAAATAATACAAATACAAAATTAGCAGCCCATTTTCATTTATACATAATACATGAAATAATTATAAAAAAATATGAATAGAACAAAATTGTTACCATTTACAAATATAATAATTCTTTGTCTATTTGTAAATGTAAGTAGGTAATAGCAAAACTTTTACTTCAAAAGTTGATCTAAGTTTCTTTTTAATATTGCTTTATTATCGTTTTAATTGATCTGTAGACATATCGAGTGTGACATGAACTCATGGTCGTCCTACTAGGCCGCGGCCGTGCGCGCGTGCACTCCTCCGTGCGCAGCCAACCAATTAGGTTTCATGTCCATTGACGAATTTTTGTAGTAATACTTACTTATATTTTCGTGAACTTATACTGATCAATTAATAATTAATTAATTGGGAATGGTCTCGATTATGATCATATACAATGTGATAAACTAATAATATTATATTTGTGTTCTATAGCAATAATGTCGTGGTGGCTCGGAGGTTAAGGAGCCCGCTTCTCATGCATGAGGGTGTGGTTTCAAAACCCGACAAGAACCAATGTGACTTTTTCCGACTTATACCTATGTACTTTCTATGATTATTTAGACACCACTGACATACGTTGAAGGTAAAAATCGTGAGGAAACCTGGACTTGTAATTTCTAATTATAAGTTTGAAATCGCCAACCCGCATTGAGCAAGCGTGATGATTAATGCTCAAACCTTCTCTGTGTGAGAAGAGGCCTTTGCTCAGCAGTGGGCACTTATAGGCTGATGATGATGATGATGATGATGATGATGTTCTATACTTTAAATCTTTATAAATTTTAAGCTTTGTAAGGTAAACATATTTTATAATATTAATGTTCTCGCTATCTCTTTCACAATATCTGGCTAATTGTATTATTATTAACGCATAATTGGAAAGCTTCGAAAATAAATTATTTTAACTTTTAAATTTGATAAAATATTTATATATTCATCGTAGTTTCATTAATTGTTTTCCCGATTTAAATACTTAAAGTCCTAACTTTTCTAATTATTTTTTTAAGAAATAAGAAAAAGAAAATCCCTTGTACATAGGGTTGTGTATAGGGTTACTGTGAAAACAAATTAAGTATTCTATTCTATTCTAAAAATATAAGAAACATACAAATTGCAGAAGAAATAAAAAAGTTCGTCACGCCGCAAAAGTCCAGTGCTTAGCTTTAAAACTGGAAACCACAGCTCTGATTTAATTTACAGAACTAACTTGTATGTGATTTCCATATAGACCTAATTTTGCACAACGGACATGACAAAATAATAATACAAAAAAGAAAACAATTTTTTTGTTTGATGCGATCTTGTTCAAAATTCATAGCAAATATCTATTGTTTTTGGCTTTTCACTAAAAGTAGGTAATGAATTTGCCTGATAGTCAAGTAGTTACTTATTGTAGGTACTTTTCATACGAACTTTATATGAATGCAACCAAAAGAAATTTATTCAAACTTCGTAAAACAGGCACAGACAATGCACACGTGAATAACTCCCTTGAATGATGTGGAGTCAGCCTATAAATGCCCACTGCTGAGCACAGATCTTATTCTCACACTGATAAGATTTAAGTATTAATCATCACGCTTGCTAAAGACGGAGAAGAGATCTTGGATTCATTACAACTTATAAGACCAGGTTTTCCTAAGGTGCATCGGGGATCGAGCGACGATCTCCGGCCACCGTAAGCGCGGGTCTGCGTTCGTGGAGCAAGATTCACTTGCCGCCCGATCAGAACCGGACCTGAGAGTTCGGGAGGTAAGCCTCAAAAAGCCAATTGTCCACCACAGACAAGGTCCAATAGGTCCTTGAGCAGGGGCTTTGAATCAGTAAGATTCTGACACTCCCTTTAGCTTCACCCTGGACGAGAGGCAGAGGGCAAAAGGCTCCTGGTGGGCTGGGTTTCAGCGCAGGTGAAGCTCCTGGAACCCAGACCTTTGAAGTGTTTCCGCTGCCTCGTGGGTCACCACGTGGGTGCCAAGTGCACCTCAGAGGTGGAACGCAGCGACCGCTGCTTCCGCTGCGGTCAGCCCGGTCACAGGGCCGGCGCTTGTACCGCCCCACCGCACTGCGTAGTATGTGCGGCAGATCACCGGGCTGGGGGCAAAACCTGCTCCCCCCCCACCAAGCCCAGGAGCAAAGGTAGGCCCTTAGCCACCTCCACCGCTCCCACCGTCGCTCCCGCTGCCGCCGCAGTCGCAAATACTACTGCGACTGCTGCTGTCGCCGCTGCCGTCAGAGAGGAGGTCGTGATGGATACCCAATAATGGCTCCATTACGCCTCCTCCAGGCGAACATCAACCACTGCGTCGCTGCTCAGGATCTCCTGCTCCAGAGCATGGCGCAGTGGTCGATCAATGTTGCTGTGGTCTCCGAGCTGTACTTCGTTCCACCCAGGGAACACTGGGTGTCAGACCTGGACGGCTCGGTGACCATCATCTCGTCGGCCGCCGCCGGTACCCCAACCCCCGAAGGGCCTCAGCGAGGCAGGGGTTGCGTCGCGGCTCGGTTCGGAGAGATCGCTGTGGTGGGCGTGTACTTCTCTCCGAACCGAACTCTCGTCGAGTTCCACAACTCCCTCAGGGAATTAGTCACCGTCGTCGTCGGGTTCCGTCCCCTCCCCGTGCTGGTCCTCGGGGACTTCAATGCCAAGAATTTGGCTTGGGGTTCCCGGCTCACTGATGTCCGGGGAAGGATGGTCGAAGACTGGGCTCTGGAGACAGGCCTAGTCGTGCTGAACCGGGGTTCTGTCCCCACGTGCGTACGGATGCGGGGCGAGTCAGTGGTGGACATTTCGTTTGCTAGCCCCGCTCTGTCATCGCGCGTTGTCGACTGGCGCGTCATGGAGGAGGTGGAGACGTTTTCGGACCACCGGTATATACGGTTCGACGTTTCCGCCGAGTCCGCAGACCCGCCAGTCAGACAGGCTCCGTGTGGCCCGCGTTGGGCGCTTAGGCAACTGGACCGGGAGCTTTTCCTGGAAGCCGCAGTCGTGCAGGCCTGGGTGATACCACCGGTCAGGCCAGCCGACATTAACGAGGAGGCGAGATGGCTCCAGGACGCCATGTCAAGGATGTGCGACGTGGCGATGCCCCGGATCCGGCCGTGCCAACGCAAGCGCCAGGTGTATTGGTGGTCGCAGGAATTGGCAGACCTGCGCGGTGAGTGCACCGCAGCGCGACGCCGATACACCAGGCACCGCAGGCTCCGTCTCCGCCCTCTGGACGCTGAAACCAGAGAGGCGGAGCTATACGAGGAGTACAGGGCGGCGAAGGCCACCCTCAGGGTGGAGATCCGGCGGGCCAAAGATCGGGCCCGCGAGGAGATGTTGGAGACTCTGAACAGAGACCCGTGGGGACGCCCCTACCGGATGGTGCGTGATAAGCTCCGCACCTGGGCGCCTCCACTGACTCAGAGTCTCCGGCCGGAGGTCGTGGACGAAGTGGTTGGGGCGCTATTCCCCCGACCACAGATGGGTTACACGCCTCCGGCTATGCCCCCGCCCCCTGCGGTACCCAATGCGGGCTACAACGACGACGACGATGAATCCGCTCCGGAAGTGACCGAGGTAGATTTGAGAGTGGCGGTGCGCCGGCTGAGCGGCAAGAATACCGCCCCAGGACTTGACGGGCTGCATGCCAAGGTTTGGGTCCTGGCCTCGGAGGCTCTCAGGCCTCGACTACTTGGTCTGTTCAGCGCATGTTTGGAGAGAGGCCAGTTTCCGCTGTCGTGGAAGACGGGTAAACTGGTCCTCGTGAAGAAGCCGGGGCGTCTTGCGGACTCTCCGTCCGCGTACCGGCCCATTGTGCTGCTCGACGAGGTGGGAAAGCTGTTCGAGAGGATAATCTCAGACCGCCTCGTCGGGCACCTGTCTGGAAGGGAGCCGGATTTAGCGGACGGCCAGTTCGGCTTCCGCAGAGGGCGCTCCACGGTGGACGCCATCATGCGCGTGAGGGACCTCACGACGGGGACAGCGTTGGCCGGGAGGCGAGTCGTCGTGGCGGTGTCTCTGGACATCGCCAACGCCTTCAACTCGTTGCCCTGGAGCTGCATTTTGGAGGCACTCCAGTATCACCGGGTGCCTGCCTATCTCCGTCGTGTAGTCGAGGCTTACTTGAAGGACAGATGCGTCATCTACCCCGGTCACCGGGGCGTGTGGAATCGGCGAGAGGTGTCGCGCGGTGTCCCACAGGGATCGGTCCTGGGACCTCTCCTGTGGAACATCGGGTACGATTGGGTGCTACGCACCGACCTCCCGATCGGCGTCAGCATTGTCTGTTATGCTGACGACACGCTGGTGCTGGCGAACGGGAGGTCGCATCAGGCGGCGGCCGACCTGATGTCACAAGCGGTTGCGACAGTCGTTGCAAGGATCCGGCAGTTGGGACTCGAGGTGGCGCTCCACAAGTCCGAGGCCATGTGTTTCTATGGCCGTCGGAGCGCGCCACCTCCAGGTGGGTCCCAAATAACGGCAGGAGGAGTTACCATCGGCGTCGAGTCGGCGA